CGGGGCCGGGGTGAAGGGCAACGCGAAAAGGGAAAGTCCACCAGTTCCTGGCACGGCCTTGCCTCCTCCAGTCCCCCTTTGCGCTCAAAAGCGAAGGGTAGCGAAGAGGACGCTGGCGGTGGGACTGGGTCCTTCAGACCCTGCCAAGTGGTGACGGGGAGGAATCGCGTGGGCTGGCTTTGAGCCCTGCCGAGCATGGGTGCCGGCTGGCACCGATGGCTCCGGTTCCGGCCAATGCCCAGAGGAGGAGAAACGGAGTCCAGCAGGGTCCTCGTCTCCAGCGGGCAAGGGTGTCCGAGCAGTCGGGAGCGATCTTATCTGGTTGGACCCTTGACCGCAGGGGCAGGAGGGGGGCATGAACTGAATTTCTGACCCACCCCCAGCCCTTGCATTGAGTTCCTCCCAGTAGACTGAGAGTGGGGGGAGTTCCCAGTCCAGAGAGCGGAGCTGGCTCACAGCAGGGTCTCCCTGCTTCCCAAACAAGTCTCACTGGGTCCCGTGGGCGCTGATCAGAAATCAGCCTTGCCAGCGGGGGCCCCCGGCCAGGGTAGCAGCCCCAGAACTGCTCCAGGCGGTCCCCTCTCCTGGGATCTCCCGCCCTTCCCCGCCACCTCCCTGCACCTCCAAGCTGGCAGGGGCCCCTGAACCTGATCCCCCCAGTAGCATGTTGCCCCCTTCTCCTTCAGAAGCCCTTGATCTCTTCCCAGCAGAAGTTTCATTTGACAGAAGATCATAGATATGGAAAATAACATTGAACACTTGTATTAATTGAGCTTTAATGCAAATGTAACTTGGTTTTGGGGGGGGCGCCCCTTTTGGGATCTGGCCCTGGGGTAGGAGAGAAGCAGGGCAGTCTGCAGCTAAGATTTATTGTTGTTGTTGTTCAGTCGTTAAGTTGTGACCAACTCTTCATGACCCCATGAACCGCATCGCGCCAGATTTATTACTTGCTCTATTTGCCTCCGACCCTCCTCACCCGAATTGCCCCTGGTCTGCTCCCCAGGAGCCAGGCAGGGGCGGGTGGGGGGAGGCCCTTCTGGAGCTCATTGGCAGCTCATTGACATGTAACCAGGGCAGGAGGAATCAAGCCCGGCATTGTCTGCCGGTCTGGCCTCCCTCCTTCTCCCAAGCGGGCAGGGAGGCCCTGCGGCAGCACAAAGGCGGCAGCACAAAGGCGGCGAGGC